GTGGGTAATTTGTCGTAGAAAGAAAAATTCAAAGACAAGTAAGTTAGTGTATACTTGAAATTATTGTTTATTAAAGATGCATGAGTTGATTGGCTTGGGATGGGTTAAGAGAATTTTTTTGATATATCTATACTCAATTGATCGTGGTTAGGTGATAAAATTAATGCAACTTGACTAATAATTGAGTTGGCTTGGTTTAGGTTGTTTAGGGTATGTTTTTGTTGGTGATATGTAAACAGAAATCTGAAACAACGAAATTTTTTAGTATTTTCAGATATGTGATAGGTAGCAGATTTAAAAATTAAATATCAATTTATAATATATTTGTAAATTAGCGGTAGTTACACTCAACTCTATTCCCTCAGTTTTTCTAAATTCAAGCATCCTAAACTAGCATTAAATACGTGTTTTCTAAAGTTAAATCTTTCTAAACTTTTCATCTTAGGGTTAAAATTTTCACGTTTAAGATGTGAAATTTTCACTTGCCTCAACAAGGTTTTAAAGTTAAATGAATTTGAAAGAGGTGTCTGTATACACAGATGATTATATTATAAGTAAAAGAGGCTTTCAAACTAATTGTTAAAATTGATGTTAGTTTAATTCAAACCAAAATTAACTTAAGACAGTTTATGAACCAACATAATTTATAGGCGTGTGACTTATTTGAATTCAAAATAACTTTAAAATGCTAATTGCCTCGTCTAATGGAAGATTTTGATTTAGCTGATCGAGTTTTTTGAGTTACTAAAGTTGTTTGGGAGAGCAAATTAAGAAAAAAAATAATACATAACAACTTTAAATAGTTGTAATGTTGTTCTTGTTCTAAAAAATTATAAATAAATAAAAAAGAAGAAGAAGAAAAGATTTGAACTTACTTCCAAAACAGCCATACATTAAAACTAGGTGTTTATATTACGTTGATTTGAAAAATTACAAATATTTGAAATGTTTATTTCAATTTCAATAAGTTATAAAATCACTTGAGATTTCTCTATGTATACCTATTTCGTAGATGATATCTATTTTGTTTTTATGCCTAAACTCAAGAATCAATATGTTCTGTTATGATTTTAATATCATTAATTAAAAATTGATTCATTGAACCTGGTTGTATAATTTCGAGACCTTTATTACCAACTTTGCTGTCCAATTTAGATCTGAAAATCAACTTTTTATGCAATAATCAAATTACGTGGACAATTTAACTCATGAAGCAAGTTGTATTGTTGTGTTTGGTTCTATAGTTCAATGAATTGAATAGACTAATGTTAATTAGGTAGATTTGTTACTTTATGAGAAACAGACCCAATCCTTCTATTCTTAATTTTATCCATTTATTACCTCATCTCACTAATTAAATAGCTTCTTTATTCTTAATTTACTTATTTCCATGAAATGGTGATTTAATTAAACTATACTATAATGTATAATCCTCATTTTTCTTATGGGTCATAATCATAATCATGTAAACTATAATGAAATGTCAGTTCAATGGAAAAAATATTATAGTGAAGTCAATGACAACTATAACACAACTGCATTCCAACAAAGAGGAAAATAAATCATACGTTACAATCTACGTTAATCAAGTTAAATAATCAAATTATATGAGATTGGTAATGAAAAGTTCCAAGTAGAAATACCTAAGGTATCTATTTTCCTCCTCCAACCATGCCATGTCTTCTTCAACTTCAGCACCTTAACCCAGATGTCAAGTTCTCCAGCTGAACAGAACCAGTAATACCGTGGCGATCTGGATCTTCATAAGAGCGTTCTTCATGTCGTTACCGAACTAATCTGCTATAAAGTTGACAGAAAGTCTTCGGAGCAGAGTAAGTTACAAGAACAGGCAGGCACTGGCTACTTGCAGCTTTAGAGCATCTGTTTCAGCCTAGAGGAAGGGAGATGGAGACAAAAAATGATATTGACAAACGAATACATCTTAATTGCTTAACTCATTTTGCAGAAAGCGGACAACATAAAGCCTTTTTATTACAACGCTCACACTTGGAAGAGAGACTGGACCATGGAACAAGAGTGTCTCGTCGTTCCCTGGCCAACGTCGACAAACCAGAAACCAACGGGACAAAGTTCCTCAGGACAAACCATCAATCATGTCACCATTGAGAGCCAGTCCAATTGCATTGTACAAGACTCAGTTATGCAATAAGATTAGGAGGCAATCGCATCGGAGATCTACAAACAAGCACCTTCTCAAACCATAATCAAAAACCATTTGTTGAAGAAGCATTCCCTGAGTTTGTAGCATCCATAGATCCATTACTGGTTTTGCTAATGATTCCCTTACCAAAGTATTGGGCAATCACAGAAAACCCGTCTTTTGAACTCTTCACTTGCTGGAAGAACTGGTCCTGATCCTTATTCTGCTCCAAGCTTCTCTTCATATCTAGAACTTTTCTGTAATCTGGAGCACACTCTGGACATTCTTTTTCATTATCCCCCAAGCAACGCTGATGGAATGAATGCATACACATGAAGTGAACAGCTGGAAGATCAAGGGTGAACGTGCATGCAGTGCACTTGCTAAGCTGAAAAATTCTAGCATTTGTCCTAAGATCTTCAATTTCTTTTCTCATTTCTAATGTGTCTTCCTGCAAAATCCAAATACAACTAATGAACTTTTTTCTAACGAAAGGGCATACAGTTAAGACTGTTGGATTGTAATTGATTAAACGCTGCATATCTTTTAAAATCAAATCCATTAATTGGAAGAAGAAAATAGATGGAAAAAAGAATATGTGCACCGATGTCCCCAAGTTCTTACTCTAGCCATGATATATAGTAAAAATGAGAAAGCTTCAAGAACTCTGTAAATGTACTCATATTATAAACATATTTGTAGTTGGACCATGCGAGGCTTTCAAATTTTGTTCCCTGATCAATCAGTACAATCAGCAGCCTTCGGCTTAGGGAGCTATCTTCTCTTCTTGTCATCATCTTCTTTCATTTACATGWTTTTATTTTTAAGTGCTTCAATATTTAATATCATCCCGTTACACAATTCAACAGATTTGAGCCTTTATCGATCAGAAAGTTGAAAATTTTAATTTCCTGTAGTCTTGTTTCTGATTTTATTTAGCACAAGAAAATCAATTTTCACATTCTTTTCATTCATTCAACCACCTTGAGTACTCAATTTCTTACTTCAATAAGATGTAGAAGTCATTTCATCAAGCATTCGAGGAAAGCTTTAAAAAAGGGATCACATGAATATATTTTGCCAAGAAAAAGCAGGAACTACTAACCTGATACTTTTCAATTGCCCGCCTGTCCTCTTCAATCATCTTGGATTCCTGTTCAAGCTTTCTTGCAATATAGTCCTTGATGACAGAAAGTGTGAGGCATGAATTTCTTGAGAGCGTCTGGATAACCATAATAGGAGGCAAGATATCATCCCTTTCAATATAGGTCAAAACTTCCTTCACTTCTTTGGAACAATCTTCCCCAAGTTCACCAAAGTACTTCAGTAAATCTGCCCATAGAGAAGGGTCACCTCCCTTCCCTGAATCGCCCAATCTTTTACAGCAAGCAATCAAACCCTCATGGTCGTGAGTTTGCATATAGCAAGCTATAACCTCCTTGTAGAGTTTCATTTTTTCATATAAATACATAAGTCCTTCCCTGAATGCATTCATTTCACAGAGAATGATAACAAGGTCAACATCATAGAGAGGGTTTTCCTGTTCTGATGGCCATGCATTCTTTAACAGGCGTAATCCCTTCTCTTGCCTTTCAAGCCGTTCCTTATCCTTTACAGGGTCCTTATTCTCGAAGCTTACTTTTGTATTGGACTCAGCTGATATCAGTGTTGCTCCGGATCTTTCTACAAGACTAAGATTTATTCCATTGCTAGCTTGGGACATTGATGGAAAGTTTAAATCATTTGACAGGTACAATTCCAACAGTGTATTGTTGATTTCCACTTGAGCAGGTGAGTCCTTTACCTTATTTGTATACTTTTCAAGGAATTCCATAAGTGACTGTGGATGATGAATGAAAATGTTGAGAAAATCAATGGGAGATGGCAGCAAAGATAAATATGTGCCATTTGAGGCCCTTTCCTTTAACGTCTCACCGTCCTCCGTCCAAAGCTTCATGAGAATATCAATTGTCTCGCGTGGCTTGTGTTCTATTAGAATCTTCCCATACTCTTTAATTGTCACCCCTGCTTGACTAGGCTCAAGGCTGGCAATATACTGCAGGGCCTCATCATATCTTCCAAGGTCTTCAAGTAAGATCTTAAGGTACCATTCATGCTTTCTTTCCCTCCTAGCAACATACATGGCATGTTCATGGTAATTGGCAGCACGACAAACTTTTATTGCTGTCTCAACATCAAATTTATGCTCTCCAGCGCTATCCTCATTCTTAATAAATACATTCAGCTTTTCAACGTCTTTCAATTTGGTGTAGCAGTTTAGTAGAAGAGTGGTATGATCTTTAGAAGCCAGCCCTTTCTCATGCAAATTTTCCAAGTAATTAGTGAGGTTATAGATTCGTTGAGCATCAAGAAATTTTTGTATAACATAAGAGGGCTCAAGATGTCCAATAGTATGGATATACTGGGCCATAGCCTCATCATAATCTTGCTTGCTGTATAGATGGTCCCCATACTTTCTTAGCACTTCTGCAGTTGCAGCAGCATCGGCTTGTTGACTTTGAACAAGATTAATAGCTATGGTGTACAAATTCTTTTTAAATAGCATATCTAATTTGCTTTCCATATCCTTTTCTCCAATACATAGAGCTGATTGGTCGTCCATTATAAGTAAAATACTACCCCATTCACAAAGCATGTGAGAAACGTCTTTAACTACAAGACTATGGGCAATCAGACGATTCTTCAGGTCATAAATGTTGAAAGTGTTCTTTCCATTTCTCTGATCTGCAATAACACATAGAAGGTATCCGCGAAACCATCCTACAAGCTTTTTTTCTCCTTCAAAAGCCCAGCAAGGACCTCGTCCATCAACTTCATAAAAATAAACTGCCTCCGGACGACCAACTATCAACTCCTAATTACATAAAACATGGTAATAATGAGCATAACAATAGGACATTAATCAACGTAATGGCATGAAAAATAATATTTAAGAGATTAGAACTGCATACTGAGCGATCGCTCATTGTGACACCGTTCACACCACATCCAATGTGATCCAGAGTTTGCCCCTTTGGCGGTTGAGTCTGCAGGCTGAATAAACTCACTGAATCGGGAGTTACAGCAAATAACTGAAGAGCCTGACCATCCACTCTGAACCCGAGCCCAGTGATAGATGATTGATTCTTGTCTGAGATATCTACCTGAAGCTTGAAACGGTTAATGCGTTCACGTGCAATGTCCCCTTTGATGCAGTATATGCAACCATTATCCAGGCCAATGGCAATAAGTAGTATTGGCGGAGCCTCCTCTAGGACTAAAAATGACGTAATCTGCAGTAGTAAGCTCATACGTCTCACAATTCCATCATAATCAGGAAACTTACTTCCAATGAAACAAAAGATGAACATTTATGGTTCAAGATGTCAAGTCTATAAAGCAACTGGCCATGAAATAGGATGTTGGCTGAACAAAATGAAAACATGACGCTACCTTTGCCTCGGGAAATTGATTAGTAAATATCCTCAAGATTCCAATACACTCGGGACTTGTTGCACTTGAGCCCTCCGGCTCAATTTTATCAAGGTCAAAAACCTTCAAGCACATTGCAGTGTGTTGCGGAGCTATTTGCACATCTTCTCCAACAGTGACTAGAAAGTTCCGTTGCTAATTATCAATCAAAAGATATAAATGTAATTCATGTCAATGACTTATGATCCTCAGTTTAATCTCCAGGCACTTATAAATTATAATCATGACCATGTTAGAAAAAAGGGAAAAATAAATTTATAATTGTAATTCATAAAACAATAAACTCGAGCTGCTGGTCAAAGAGAGAATGGTAAAGTTCAAATATCAGTTCGAAGGTTGAGTAACAAGAATGGTTAATTGGGCATCAGTTTCAATCAAAGACATGCCGAAGCAGAAAAAAATCCAAATTCCTCCAAGGAAAGAAAGAAAAATACTCTTGACCTATTCAGCAAAGGAAATCCTAGCGCTTCCCACGGTTTCTTAGCGACGAAGCAGAATAAGCAAGAACCAACCTTGAGCTGTTGCAGAAAGGATACGGTAGAGGAATGAGCTTGAAATCCATAGCTGAACTTAAGCCCACGATCAAGTAGGTTAACGCTACCGTCATTGCATCCGATCACCACCTTCCCTCTGCCGCTCGAGCAACACTCGATCTTCTTTTCCCTGACCTCTTCCGGAATTGTGCATCTTCCAGCTAGTTTCTCTTCGAAGAACTCGAATTTCCTCCATTGATACATCTTCCCTGCCTCGTTTCACTTGCAATTCGGGTGATCAATGAAGTCCTCTCTAAGACATCAACGGAACAAACTATAAACAATTCACTTGAAGATCAGTGATATCAGAGCCCGAATCGAATTTCCTTCCCAATAATTTTTGCCTTTTCTTGTCGTCGTTAAGGCGCTCGCGCTCTTCTTCATCCCCCCTGTGATTCCCGAATTGACAACATTCCGCAAATTCGCCTTCCAGTTCCAGTTCTCCCACACGTCGCTCCCGGATTTTTCTAAGCTCTGTGGCCAATCAAGCCCAATTATATTCTATTTTGGGCCGATTGTCGATAAATGGGCCGGCTCGGAATCTAAATGGGCCAACCGTCGATGAATGGGCTGGCTTGGAAACAGAGTCAACTCAAATTATGGCTCGCAAAATGTTGATCGTCGATCCGGGGAATATTCAGAGATGACAACATATATAGCCATTTAAAATAAGTCATTTCAAAAATTGATCAAATAATTTTTAGTTTTGAAAATTGGCCAACGGAAAAATAGAAAAATACTAGAATATATTATTTATCTTTTTCTACTGGAGAATCATACATATATGAACCATTCAAATATTTTGAGAATCTTACCGCTATTTTTTAATAGAAAATCATTTTAGAAATGGAAATACCAATACTGAAGATGGAAACAAATACAATAACAATCATGATGAACAAATACAGTAACAAGCATGATGAACAAATACGGTGAACAAATGAACAAATATGATAAATAGATGTGAACACAAAATTTTTATTAAAAGGGAGTGGCGGAGGGTAAGGAAGAGAGAGGTCAACAGTATAAGTTTCTACCTTTGTCAACCACCTTTGTCAACCACCTTGTTGTTCCACCGTTGTATCCCTTGCTCCCTTCCTCAATTTCATCTACTCCATGTCCCACCTACAACTATGTCACTACTCCATAGTTGTCTCCCTTGCTTGATTCTGTCCATTCCCCACTCAATTGCGGTCCATTTCCGTTGTCTCCCTCGTGATGCCCTGAGAGAAAATATAGGAAAGAGAGATAATATAACAAGAAACGAGTATTATTTTGATTTGAAAATAATAATTAAATAGAAAGGGTAAAATGATCAAACTTAAATAGGTAAAACAGTTGGAAAAATCAGAATAGACATTTTTTATTAACAAAAATTATCTGACCATTTTTTAAAACCAAGTGATAAATAGAGACACTTACTATAAATTCTCGAATATTTATGATATTAGGTTCGGAGCGATGCTTACTATTTGGCCCTTGCTTGTGGAGTGACACCCCAACTAATGATGGTAGTGAGAAATTCGTTGACATTAAACTTAATTATTAAGGAATAATAGAATGTTATAACTCATGCTTACCATCAATCATTCTTACTAAACCAGTCAAATTTTAAAATAGTACCCCAATTTAAATTTGACAATATAGGATTAGAGCAAGTTAAGGCATACTCATTTTTAACCTAACAACAATTTTTAGGCATCAAAATGTCACAAAAGAATATCATCCCAAGCTAAGGAGAATCAAAGGAGGATATCTCTATCAATATCATTAGTAGTGGAAGATACCCCATCCCACATGTTGTACTAAAAAAAATATATATTAGTAAGGGAAGATACACGTCCCTAGTTTCATTGTTGGTACATATGAGAAGGCTACGTTAGTAATTGTGAAGTGTAATTTTAAATTTTCATGAAAGTTTCTACATTGTTTTAAAGTTTCTTTAGAATCGCCTATAAATAGAGATGTTCTCCATTATTTATAAGTGTCAAGTTCCAATTAAACAAAGTGCATATGCGTTCATTAGAAGAAATTTTCTCTTGAATTTCTTACTCTTCTCTTTTATTATCTGCTGCCTTATAAAAAGAAGGATGCTATGCATAAATTAAATTTCAAGATGGTTTTAAAACAATCTCACTATTTACTCTTAATCACGAGGATGTAGCTAGTTATAAAGTCAAATCCCACTTAAATTAAATTAATGTGAAGAATAATTATTTCCAGAGCCAACCTCAAATTCATCCACAAACCATGAACATGTAATATATGGTATAAGTATAGGTTTAATTTTTGAATGAGGTGGAGAAACATTATCGGAAACATCAAACTTTTACTACAAAATCCCAGACTTTCCCGAAATAGCATAATTGTATTGTAATGAAAGATTTGTACATTTTTTAAACTTTTTGGTATTCCAGCGAAAATTCTTTTTTAATACAATAAGTGGAAGATTATCATTCTTAAAATGATAATATATATTTTATTAACCGACGGTTAAAATTCAAACTTTTTGAACCTATTTAGTAAAATTTTGTTTGGTTAGTTTATTTTTAAAATAATATTTTGACTGTATCTACATTTTGTAAACCATAAACGAAAAATATTAAAATTATTGATAGAAAACATATAATACACCTTTATCTATTTTTATTAAATTTCATATTTTTAAAATTTCCAATCAGTTGATACCTGAGTTTCTGACAAAAAAAGAAAGAAAAAATAAAAAGTGAACCAATCCGTTTCCTCCTAAGCACAGGCGGGATATGTAAATACAATTAAAGATTGGTATATCCAGAAATAGAATGAAGAAGAAGGACGGGTTGTAATGGCCGTTGGATTGGAACAGAAGAAACAATAATCAAACGTTGGATTATGATGGTCAAAGCATATGGAAATTGAAATGAGATGAATGTGCTGGCAGATAACGATGGGATGTCTAGATTTAATCACCATTAATTTCTTGATTAAATATTAATAAATTTATAATATTTCCAATGGTAACCATTTATTAGTCTTGTCTTTTAATTTGACAAATGTATTACTTAAGGTTAATTTTGTGATATATAAATTATAAACAATTACACATTTTTGGGATCTTCAGCTTCTTCCGATCTCTAATGAGTTTTGATTTATGAAATTTGGAGTTAGATTAGTATTTAGATTATGATTTCTAAACCCAAATAACCTCTCTTAGCTTTACAAAATTGAAAAATAATTTATATTAAAACATGAATGCATGATTGGATAACAATCATGTCAAAATTAAATAAAATTATTCTTATATTTAAGGGCAACTATATGATTTTACCATATATAATATAACACTATTGAAATCTACATTACTTTTTTTTTTTTATTATATCAAATGTCAACACCACCTTTTCCCTTTCCACAAGTCACAATTCTTCAATCAGAATTTTTAATTAATTTTTTTTTTTCATAAAAATTTAAATATAAACATGAATAAATTAAACAGAAAAAGTGGATGTACAGAAACTTCCATCTACTCGACCATACAGTAAACTTTCCCTCCAACTCCAATATTGGGATCCCAGAGAACCTTAACCGTCCGTACATTTCTCCGTTTGAAAATCTGATTGGATCTTGCTTACAGTTCCGTCAACCATTGACGGTAACGGTAATTCCCTGTTTATCTGCCCTTTGAACCGCTCTCACTCCTGATTCCTGAATCCCGATTCGCTGCATATTTACCCCTTTACCCTTCTATTGCTTTATATCGACCGGGGCCCACAATTTGATTGCCATCCAACTCGCGAAGCACCGGATCTTTCCCTTTATCAAAGATTTTCTCCTCATGCTAAAAAGTGAATAAAAGGGAAAACTTTATTTAATATATAATTAAAATATTAATTCATTATTGAACCGAAGTGGAGTTCTGCTGCAGGAGAATTTTTAAATATATTTGTATATATAATGCTAATCCTTTTATCCTTCCACTCCCATATTGCTTTTATTAGGTGGTTTTAGAATTTTTCGAATTTAACATTAAATTGGGGTTTATTATTATTAAGAATTAAAAAAATATATATTTTAAAAACAAGTAAATGACAGCCTCCAAATTTTCAGCAGAAAATCCTCATCCAATCCCTACAAAATCGCGGCATTTAAAAAAAGAAAAAAAAAAACCGTTGATGTAGTGATGAAATAAAAACCGCTCATCTCAGCCCCACAAAGTGGGACCCAGATTGCGTTGGCTGCACACGTGGATTTTATTTCGTCACTGATTTAATTTATTCTTTTGATAAAACATTTGATTTTCTAGACTTTCTCAAGAGAGAGAGAGAAGAAGGGCATTTGGGTCCTTTCAGCCCTAAGCTGTTTTCGGAAATCCAGGCGCATTTCTCATAATTTCCCGCTATTTTCTATAACGACAAGTACAACCTGTAATTTGAAAACAATAAAAATAATAATTAATTACAAAAATCTAACGTAAACAGGTTTTTTAAAATGAAAAAACAGAGAGCGAAACCCAAAGAAACATGATTTTATTTATTTAAAAAAGAAAACTAAATGAAAATTGACCAATTATTTAAATATTTTGGAGTTCCATGTGATATTTTAAGAGAGTGGGGGGGAGGTGGTAGGATAAATTTATGATTATATATAGACAAACAATTTGGTTGATTTGAACTAAAGACACAAGGCGCCCCTTTAAAGCCAATCCCTTCTGTCATTTTTGCCTTATTATAAGAATGGTGTCGTTTTCAGTGTGAAGAAGATAAATACAGCGAAATACAAACACACACACACAGAAAGAGGATAGAAAAGAAAGAAATATCATTCAGTCATGGCCATGGATGAATTTTGGGCTCTGGGTCGCTTACTTCTCTGACTTCAATTGCGAATTCCGCAGGTATACTCTGTTTCTGCTTTCTCAAGACTCAATTTTTATTTCTTCTTTTAGGACATCATTTTGGAATTAATTGTTGGAAATCCTGTCGAAACAATGGTTGGAATGTTTTGTCTGGTCTGAAATCCTCTGTTTTCTTGAACAGAGAGTGGGAAACACAGAAAGGGGGAGTTTGATTTTCCTTGAAAAATAGGCGTAATTTGGTTACAGCTTTGAGGGAGGATATTTAATTTGAATTTGGGATGGATTTTTCCAAGTCGACAAAAGTTGTGTACGAGAGAATCCACAAATTAGAGCCGGAATATGTTTCCAAAATCATTGGGTATCTCCTTCTGCACGGGCATGGCGAGCACGACATGATCCGAGTAGCCTTCAGCCCTGATTCCGTGATTCAATTTCTGGTCGACAAGGCCAAATCCGAACTGGGAATTCCCGAAATCGCGGCCCCTGCTCCCGCCGACCCGTATTTACAATTATCTCGCCTGATTCCATCCCCATCGCCGGCGGCCTACTCCGATTTGGTGGTTTCTGAGGATTACTCCCTGCAGAGCCGGATGCAGTTCATGACGTTGGAAGAGCAATTGGAATCGCTGATGAACCCGGTGGGGGTGGAGTTTGGGAGCAATTGGTACGTCCCAGAACCGCCGTTGGGGCTGAGAAGGAGTCGCCGGAGTCCGAGCGTGGCGGAGTTTCCGGTGAAGGTGTGCCATTACTTCAGTAAAGGGTACTGTAAACACGGGAACAACTGCCGGTACTTCCACGTGCAGCCGGTGGCGGTGGCGGAGAGTGGGATTGATCAGTTTGGAAACGAGGAGCAGATTATTGTCTCTCCAGGGCCGCTTGAGAAGCTGGAGATGGAGATAATTGAGCTTCTGAAATCGCGGAGAGGGGCTCCGATTTCCATTGCGTCTCTGCCCATGATTTACTATGAGAAATATGGGAGGAATCTTCAGGCTGATGGCTATCTCACTGAAAGCCAAAGGCATGGGAAGGCTGGCTATAGCCTCACCAAGCTTCTCGCTCGTTTGAAGTGCATTCGTCTCATTGACAGGTTACATTCATGATTTAATTACAAATCCTTCTCACAAATTCAATTTGAAAGAGTTACTGTGAGTGAGTGACTGTTTGGTTGTTCATGGCATTTTCAGGCCTCATGGGCAGCATTCTGTTATCTTGGCCGAGGATGCTCCAAAGTACATGGAATTTTCCGCGGTTGAAACCGGGTCGCGACAGATTTACCTCACCTTTCCTGCTGAAAGCAGTTTCACAGAACAAGATGTTTCAAACTACTTCAGGTAAGAGATCAGTAAGTGGTGGTGATGATTTGGGCGGGCTTGGATTCAACTTTATATTACATGTTTTGGTTTTGGTGCAGCAAATATGGACATGTTCAAGATGTTAGGATACCCTGCCAACAGAAGAGGATGTTTGGTTTTGTAACTTTCACTTATGCTGAGACAGTGAAGGAAATTCTATCCAAGGGAAATCCCCATTCCGTGTGTGGCGCTCGGGTTCTCGTTAAACCGTATCGGGAGAAGCCGAGGCTTTTCGAGAGGTTGCCATTAATTCCTTTCCAAAACCATCAAAGGACATGTCCAATCTTTTGCATCTCAGAAATGTCTTTTTTGTTTGTGCAGGAAGAGTGCAGAGAAATCACCACTTCCCATGCATTACATCCACAATTTCATGGACCAAGGAGACTTGGAACAACACTGTGGTGAGTTATTCGAATATCCGTTTCCAATTACCAATCCATTCAACAACGGGAGATCTATAGGACATACATAAACACATACTTCACAGACAACACATTTATCAAATTCAAAACAGAAATGCTCCGATATGATTAATTTTCCGGACATATCTGGTTTGTGTCATAACCATGGCCAAATTATTTGTTTTTATAGTGCCAAGAGTTTGTGATGGTGCAAGATTGATGATGAGAAAGCACCATCTTATTGAGGAAAACGAGCAACACCCAGATTTTGTATTGGCATCCAAGCCCTCATCCCATCTTCCCTATTTAGGCTTTTCAGCCAGGAAGTTGGGTCTTTCAGCAGGTTTTGGATTCTTTGATTTTGACTTTGGACTATTTAAACAAATTCTTATACCTCCATTAATTGTTCTTAGCCAATGCAGAAATGAAGGACGACTTCTCATCTTCTGAGCAGCTCAGTCAGTTTCTAGATTCCCTTACAGACGGTTCCACTGGTCACGATAGGTCTGTTTAAAGCAAGTCCGTTTTGATAACGATATTGAGACGAAATGGTTATGAAACGGGTCATAATCTCATAGTTATGGTGGTTTAGTTTCACTTTCACAGCCCGTGCAGCACACAAGGAGTTAATCTACCCGATAGTCCATTTGCATCTCCCATAAGGAGTGAAATTTCAACAGTTATATAGAAGATACACACACCTTGACAGGATTTTAATAGAAGATAGAAGACTAAATTTCCTCACAATCTTATGGAATCCGAATCAGAAATCGGTTTCAATATGAAAACTTTCATTCTTTTTTCTTTTGTTTTCTAACAAAAATGGCATAGGTGCGAGCATATAGATAGAGAATGGTGGATTACTTCTACTCGGAAAGGAAGAGAAGTAGTTGTTGAAGATTGACAAAGTTTGCTGAGGAAATAAGATGATAGAAAGAGAGCTAATAAATGATATGTATGTAAAAGATTTTACAGCTTTTTGTTTCCCCTTGGATTTGTTTTTCTTTAAAGTTAGTCAGGCAAGAAAAAGCTTGCCATTTCCTAGAAAAAGTGGTTTAATCTACTTTTTTTTTTTAGTTGAAGAAAAAAAAAGGTGTAAATAAAAGAACATGATGTTTGTTATGTTGCAGAGGGAAGAAAGGTTTAGAGATCTCTGCAACATCAATCAAATAACTTTTACTTCCTATGAAAGTTAATGGTTACTTAGTAATTTCATTGCTTTTTCATTCAAGTGAAATTTTGCTCCAAGTTATGCTTATAAATACTGGTGATGGGGTACCAGAAAATGCCATTCTTTTGCAGACCCCAAAAGCCATATTTTTCACAAAAGAGAAAGCTTTAAGGGTACATCACAGGGACAAATTTCATAATTAAAAAAAATGTCTATACATTGATGGGTCAACATTACCCATTAAAAACCTTTCAAAGGCATGTTCAAAAATCTATCCTTTTTTTTTCAGCTCAATACGAATGAAGCGGTAATTGACATCTGTTTCTTTTTATATCTCAATTATTGTACTGAGAAAAAGAGATAAATTTAAAAATAATTGCTTAGCGGGCCTTGTTGAGCCCAATGATCCAATATTGTCTTGTCCTAATCACTTTTTATAGCCCACAGGCAAACAAACAAAAACATTTCATTCTTTCCCTTTTCCTATAAACTCTCCACCCCATGTTGCAATATACAATTTCAATATTAAACCCCATATTCAAAATTTATGTTAAAAGATTATTTTGATTTCTAAATATTTTAAATATTCATTTTAGTGTTTGAATTATTAAATATTTTAATTCTGAAACTTTCTTGTTTTTGGTATTTACTATATCATTTTATCACATTAATAACATACTATAATAAAATACATGCTCATGTTAACTTACCACATTAACAACTGTACTTAATCAATTTGTTAAAAACAAACTAAAATATAGCTTTTAAAATTTAGCGACCAAGGTTTAAACTGAACTTTTACTATTACGTCTATTCTTTGACTGAAATTTAAGAGAATTAATTAAAATTTATAGGAAATAAAATATAATTAAAATCCACAATGAATAATTTGTCATGTTAGATTGCAAGGGCTATTTTTCAACACCAATACATTGGATAAACTTTAATCAAATGCTTGACTATAATCTACCTTTAGAAGTACAATCCAACCTAAATTCATTTACTATTTTTTTTAATTAAAGCATGAGTGGTGTAAATAAGGACTTTAAAACTGCTTATCCAAATCCCTCGTTATAACTTATAACACTAATTTAATCAAAAGAATTACAAGAAATAACGAATAAAAAAAACACAAGATTAATCAAAACGAAGAAAATAATAATTCTGTTTTTTATTTATTTAATAAAATCGTTGTATAATTGGAATAATAATCATACCAGGCTAATCTTAATCCTTTGACTAAAATCACCTCGCTGACGCTGGAGCTTGTTTTTATGATTGATCACAAAATCAGACGGTGGAGGAAGTATGAAAAAAAGGACGGTGGAGATGAAATGAAATCAGACGTTGACGGTGTTGCAGAGGAACATGAGGGACAATGCGGACGCATCGCCGCCGATTCTGCCGCTCCCTGTGAGGCGCTCGTAGTAATCCACGCAGAACAGAGACAGCGAAAGTTGGACCTCGTCCTGAGTCCAAACTCGCCTCACCAGGTCCGAGTACCCGAGTCGACTCAGCACCGGCCGTATGCTCACCATGTACAGCCGCTTGTACCCTCCCAGGGCGGCGACCACGGACTTCACCGACGAAGGAAGCGGCGATCTCACGTGCCGGAAGCAGAGGTGTTCCCACAGCGATTCGCTTCGAGCGATGGTGCACCAGAGGTGGCAGACGCACGCCGCCACGCCAATCGACGGTCCATCCAGCCGCTTCAGGATTTCTATCAGAATGTCGAGATGGTCATTGATTAAGAACTTCCGCCTCTTCTCATTCCGCTCAGGTATGCGATTATGCATTCTTTTGTTTCAGCTCTAGAAATAGTTAGGAATTGCTAGGTAAAAGTAAAACCCTATGATTCTCTGATATGTATATATATATCGAATTGACGCTGGAGATAGATTGAGAGAGAGAGGGAAAGATTTGATGAAAATTCATTAACAAGGAGAAAAAGTCTAAGATAGAACTTGTCTTGCTGTGCGTCTCGAAGTCCGCGTGTTTGTGAAAATGTCTGTGAGAAAGGATTTAGGGAAGAGGTAGAGGGTATCGAGGGGGGAGGAGATGGGGCCAAAGAAGAACCTCCAAACCAAAAAATACTCAAACCAATGCCAATGAATGCGATGCTGTTGCTGTTTAACTTTCTCTTTCCTTGGTTTCTCTTTTTTCAAAAATTGTTTTGGGGCTTTGCATAAACTCAAGCTGTAGTTGAATTTAGTTTGTGCATATTCCAAGACTTTAGGCATGTGTCCGTTGTGATTTGGGAACAACTCTTCAAAAAGAGTGACCTTTTAAATAGTAATCAAATGTGCATGGATATGTTACTATCTTAACTCTATTTTTATTCTATCCCTATCTTTTCTTAACTTGATTGTGTGCCGTGTGGTGTGGCCCATGTCTAAACATTATTGTTCATTGGACTTTAACTATGAACTCCAATTTTCAATATAGTGCCCGTATCAAATTATGCATTATAAGATGTTTATGATGTCATGACAGATAATATGTTCAATGCATCTTGATTATGATTGCATTTAGCTTTTAAATTATAGAAAATAAAAGGGATGTCTGGAAAGTGTTTTTGAGAACAATTGCAAATGATAGAAAGTATTTCTTAAAAAAAAAAAAATTGAGAGACAATTTGAATTATAGTGCATCTCAGACTGTTTTCCAAATTTTCAAAAAAGAAAAGTACTGTTTTTTTCAAGATTCAATATACACTAATTTGATTTTATCTTAAAAAGTATTTAAAATTTTCGAAAGTGCTTTGAAATATATATATTTTTTCCTGTAAAATATGTATTTTTAGAAACATCAGTAAAAAAAATATTTTAACAATTTCTACCTAAGTAATACTGTTTTGTCTGTGGAATTTCAATTTATGACACGTTATTTTATTTTGTTTGTGGAATGCAATGTCTTGACCAATTGAGCTATGCTTATATCTGGCATACTTTTTTTTTTCAGGACGTTATTAACTATATCTTAATTGTCACATCATTTACTATCTCTCTCTAAATCACATTGCTCAACCTCCATTTATTTCTGATCACAATCTCACATCAATTACTCTCTTTCCATCTCAAGAACATAGGGATCCTGATATGTTTTCTTTTTTTCCCCTAATTTCTGGTTTTCTGGAGTCACTGTTTTATCGATGCAGAATGATTTTCACACGCAGAAATAGACAGATCGGAGACACACACCCAGGGGGAAGGGGGGAGGGGATTTGTAGACTATGAAAAACGTGTTGACAATCATGTTAATCAGATCATAGAGGTATAGTTTGCATTATCTTTGATTATGAGATATCTATAGGCTAGTACTAAAGTTGTATGCTTGAATTAAGATTATTATTCTTATAATTATTAATTTTGTTGGATCGTTTCATTTCTATTAGAAAACATACAGTTTTTTCATATGGGGTTCATATGATATGGTACAGTGATATATATACTCATCATACTGAGGAAATGGATGCTGGAAAACTAAAAACAAAATAGACAGAACTTTATGCACTTGGGGGAAAAAGGTGAACCGGAAAACGTTAAATGCATTAAAAAAATGTTTGAAAATAAGAAGTGTTGTTGTTTGTGATCAGGAGGAAAAGTCAAGAGGGAAACAAGCATCATAGGTTTCCTCAGCAAATAATAAATAAATAACGTAAATATGTGTGAGAAGACCATTGAAAATTATGGACAGGGCAGTGCCCATTTGATTGTCTGATGGGGTTGGCACAGAAAGGAAACCCCCAAGTCCTTTGAGACAGAAAGCATATAATAAAACATCATTATATTGGGTGTTAGAATTGACATTTAGATTTATAAAAAGACCCTTTAGGTTGGGTTGTGGGGGAAGGAGGTGGGAGATTCTCTTAGGACCCCCCCTCCTCCTCTACTGCCCCCACCTCTATATTATATTCTTTTAGGGTTTCTGAAGAAGTTGTTTTGTTTCATGTTGGACTTGTCTGTTGGACACATCTGAGAAAGCACTGTTCCCAAGTCTTGCTGAGAAGAACTTAATAATTGCAACACTACAACAAGAAACCCCTAAAGGTCAAAAACCAACACGAATTCTTACATTTTTCTTTTTCTCATTTCCTTATCCCTCCCTGTGTTAAAAGACTGCCTTTCGTACTTACCTTCTTGTTGTAGAGTTCTTGTCATTTGTAATTTTTTCCTGTTTTTACAGCTTAATATCGAACCCCCATCCCCAATTTTTATAAATTTTCATGCATACATTTGAATTCTAAGACTGTTATGCCCATACCATATAAGCTTAATATTTTTACAATTACAAAGAAAGTCACAGTTTCCATTTTGTTGAAAATCTTCATTTTTTTTGCTTGCCCTTTTGCCTTTTGGAGTTTCATGAATCTAGAACAAAAATTTCTTCCAAGGTATTTGTATTGTCTTTTGTTGATTTACACAAGATTTTGTAAACTCCGCGTCTGTTTACATCTATACCTTTGAAATTATTGTAGGCCTATGACTAAAATAGAAAAATGGTAAATAGTACTACATTCGTTTCATATCTTTGTTTTACCCTCCATGGTCCCAGAAATGCTTTGGTATTGATCTTTCCATGTCAAATATATGCACGTGATTTCGTTTTGTATGTAGATATTTGTTTTTGTACGATTCTAAATTTAAATACATTTATTTGCTAACAGTAATGTAGATCTTGGATCCTTTCTAATTTATCTTGAAAACATAGGTCTTCTCTTAACCATGGTCAAAGCCTACTGTATCTTAGCCAACAATTGGAAAGAAAAGAGAGTGATTTTTACTCTACTAGAAACTTTGAGAAAAGTAGAGGGGGGGTAATCAATTAGAAATGAGAAATAAAATAATGAATTTGATAATTGGATGGTAAACAAACCAAAGAAAGATGATTAATGGGTTAACTAAAATAATAATATAAGAAGAAGTTTCTTGGTGCCCAAACACATAGAGATAAGTACTTGGGAACAACATGAACAAAACGAAAAAGCAAGTACAGAAAAGGTAAACAGAAGACGACTTGAAAAACAAACAACCAAATAACAATCAATCCTTGTAAAATCAAATGGTAATCTTATAATGACATCTTCCAATCCCCTCCCCCTCTAACTGCTTCTCCTAGCTTCAACCAGAATTTCTCTTCTTCTGTGAAACAAAATTAATTATTGATTTATCACAAACATGTATTGTTGGAACTTGTCTATGGATCTTTGTCTCTGTGAACCTGCAGTAGTGGGTATTTGGTGGAGTGAGTTAGATTCAATCTTAAAGCTTTTTATTTTTATTTTTATTTTTATTTTATCCATGAAATTATAAACTCGAATGAGTGATGCAGCTAATATATTTCGTTAGTATATATTTTTTTTCCTCTTTTTTAGAGATTTGTGGCTGTGTGAGAGATATGAGTGTTCTATGGTTGGACAAGACTATTTTTTATGGGTGCTTCATTTATTTATTTATTTATTATTATTATTGTGTTTATTTTGGTTGGATTTGAAATTTTGGTGTTCGATTTTAGGGGAGTTTTCTTGGCTGATTTATTTAAGGGGTGAATTTTGGTTTTCGTGACTATATTTGGGTAGCTGACTTTGGGTGATTTGATGATTGATTTTTAAGCAATATTTTTAACTGGATTTGATTTAACGAAGTTAATTTGTAATATTTAAAAAGAAATATGGTGTATTGGAAAATGCAATTTAAATAATTGTTTTACTTAAATAGTACTATTGATAAAAAATGCTCAATAGTGGATTACTTTGTTGTTTCATTGTGATATTTCAAATGTACTTAGAGTGCTTTCTTTTAGTACGACAGGTGGGGTAGAAGATCAAACCGATAACCTCTTGATTGAAGATATATGTATTTGAAAAAAAAAGTAAAAAAAATTTGTAGTATTGTACAAAAAATACTTAAAGTTTTTTTTTTTTTAAACCAAAAATGTTCATTAGGAAATTGGGAGTGATTTGTCTAAGTGCTTATAATCAAAATAATTTTGCTAAAATAACTCATTTTAAAAATCTCCAAAGTCCAAACACATCTTAAAAATATCTTAAAGATGAAATTTAATAAATGACTTATATTGATTACTGTCGTTAGTTTGAACGTACTTACCGATTTCACCGTATCAGCTTTGTAGTAATCATAATGCTAATAATAATGATTTACCAAAATGCACTTTTATTTTAAAGTGTGTTTAAATTGTAGTCAAAGAATAATAAACAAATTTTTTTTTGAAAGGTATTAAACAATAATTATTTGTGCTAGTAAACGATATTAAATTTCGATTATAAAAGGGAGGAATTTTGATGAAATAAAATTTATCAACCAGCACATGATGTTTCAAGGGTTTCTGACACTACGGCTATGGAAAGAGCTCAAAGCATCCATGGGCTCTGGACAAGTGATCGACTTAAATTGGGCCGAATCAATGATATTGGGCCACTGTCAAGGCCCAGAACTTGAGATCTTATATAATATATAAAATAAATGGAGGACGAAAATTTTTAAAATAAAATAGTGGAGGAAAACTGAAATATGATTTTTTTTCCCGTGCACATATAAAAATTCATTTAAATTCAAATGTGATAGTTTAGTCTCCACCTCACCATTGTTGAACTAATAAAAAAAAAGAGAAAATTGGTGATGTTAATTTATTAGATACAAAACCGAAAACTTCAATATCTGTTAAAAACTAAGGACTAAATATATACAATTTTGAAATTCAAATATCTGTTTCTTTTGTAACACATTAAATAGATCTATCTCTATTAGAGTTAGGGAACAAACTTATAATTATTATTAAAAAGAAAAGAAATATGTGTTTTATTTATTTATTTATTATTGTTATTATTATTTTAGTTTGACAAATATAAGGCGAGGATCAATCATTCAACTCTAAGAACCATAATATAATGTGTCCTAACCATTGATTAGGCTATGCTTGAGTTGGCCAAAAAAAAAACTTAAAATTTAGAACTCTTTAGAGATGAAATATAACTTTTGGATAAATTACAAATTTGGTTGCTAAAATTTGAGTATTATGTCCAATAAATTTATAGTTTTAAAATGCTTTCTATATATATGTTAGTTGAGTAGAGGGGGAGGAATTTGAACTTATAACCAAAAGAAGTAAATAATGTTACAAGTTTTAGTTAAATTATGTTAGTGTTGGCCTTTAATCTTTCCATGTTACAACTACTAAACACTTAAATTTTAAACAATATTTAACAAGTTCTTACTCAACGTTCCCTAGATAAAAAAAACAAAGGTTTCAAATTTTTTCCAAGAAATACACGGAAGTTAATAGTGGACCGTCTACTATCGAGACAACCATGGAAATGTTTCATTTATCAATTCTAGAAGCACTGCTCATGGATTCCCAAACCAAACAAATTTGGGGAGCTAGGAGTCATTACCCAGGTCAATACCATTGATTTGAATTGTATATATATTCCCAATAAAAAAAATCGTAGATTCGAATCTCGATCCCAGTAACAAAAAAAATTTGTATTTAGCCATTTATAACACAACCTAACCGAAGGGAGGGAGAGAGAGAGGCTATAAACATTAAATGGTTGGGGGAGGGGACCGTTGAGAGTAGTACCTCACCAGACCAACAGGAAGTCCCAAGTTGTACTTTCACTCTTTAAAAATTAAACATATCTTTTAT